TGGTGAGGACAGAAGGGCCTTGGGTGGAAAAAGAAAATACCAGATAAATGTTTATCTACATTTTGTGGACTATCCAAAAAAGCATTTCACTATGTGGATTGAAACAATTTAAAAACAGTATTACAAATAATAGGAATTCCAGAACATTTAATTGTACTCACAGGGAATTTAACCATAGACCAAAAAGCAGTTGTTTGAAAATAAAAAAATGAATACTGCATTGTTTAAAATCAGAAAAGTTGTATATGAGCGTTTTATCTATTTATCATACCTATAATAAGTGATAGAGTATTTTTAGGAATGGAAATTCCAGACACCTTATTTGGCTCATGCAAAACCAATAAATAGAGTTTAGCCTGTACATACAACAAAAAACAAGGGGATACTCCAGGATTTAGAATCAAGAAACATGTATGTCTAGATTGTATCTTTGTAAGATACCTAGTGAGTATATATGCATATATGCATATATATGGGTGTGGAGAAAACCGCATGAAATGCTGGACTATATGAAGAATGTGACATCAGGATAGGAAGAAGACTCTTCAACCACTGATGATATGCAGATGATACAACCTTACTGCTAAGAAAAGAAAATGAAACATTTGCTGATGAAATTCAACAAGCCTAGCTTTTAATATGGATCACTCTGCAACATAAATAAAACAAATACCTTAGCATAGGACAAATAAATAACAATGTGGTAAATGTAGAGAAGATAGAGGCTGTCAAAAATGTTGTTTTACTTGAAAGCACACTCAATGCTAGTGGACACAGCAGTCAAGAAATTAAATTATTTATTTCAGTGGACAAATGGGCTTCTGAAAACCTCTTCAAAATGCCATAAAAGCAAGTTACTGCTTTAAGGAAGCACTATTCAGTCCTCCCTCACTCCCCAATTGCTTATATACCTGTGGAAATTGGACTAAGGAAGACTGAAGAACTATTGTTGACTTTAAATTGTGGAATTGGTGAAGAATATTGAATAGCCAATGAACTGCATAAGATCTCCTAAATCTCTCTGGCAAGAAATGTATCCAGTGTGTTCCTTGGAAGCAATAATGGTGATATTTAATCACACGTACTTTGGGCCTACTAGGTGGACCAACCCCTGGAGACAGTTTCATGCTTGGTAAGGTAGAGGGTCAAGACAAAGCAGAAAGACCCTCTTTAAGTGAATATATAGTGATTGCAACAATAGGTTGAAGTACACCTAAGACGGGGCAGTGTTTTTTTCTGTTTTTCATTGGGTAGCGGTGGTTTGAAATGAACTTGACTTTACCTAGCAACAACATTTATTATAAACGTCTTTAGAGGTCAGCCCTGAGCTTAGCTCCAGTGTTGTTGTTACATGCTATCGAGTCACCAACGACTCATTGTGGCATTATGTACATTAGCTCTGAACCCTGTCCTATCCTGAGTCAATCTCATCATCTCTGACACCTAATCCCATTTCTTCAGTCTCTGCATCAATCTATCTCATCCTGGGTCTTCCTCTCCTGTGCTGTCTCTCCACCCTTCCAAGTATGATTTTCATCCCTCTTGGCCACATGTTCAAAGTATGTGAGATGGGCCTTAAAATCCTTGCAGCATGGAACAGCATGGTTTCATCCTCTCCAGGACAGATCTGTTTGTTCTCCTGGCAGTCCATGGTATGTTCAACACTCTTCTCCAGCACCAGAACTGAAAGGCATCAATCCTTCTTCTATCTCCTTAGTTACTATCCAGCTCTTTGATACATAGCATGTAAATATGAAGACTGTGGCCTGGATCAGATGCACCTTAGTCTTCAGACTGACATCCTTGCTTTTCAGTACTTTAGAGAAGCCCTAACAGCAGAATTTCCCAATGCATTTTGCCTTTTGATTACCTGACTGCTGGTGCCAAGAGTGTTGATTGTAGAACCAAACCAAGCAAGCTAACATTATCAACAATCTCAATCCCTTCTTTGTCTTTGCCGATTGGCTGAGTGATCAGAATCTTTATTTTCTTGGTGTTGAGCTTCAATCCATACTGAAGACTACAGTCTTTGACCTTCTACAGCAAATACTTCATGTTCTCCTCATTTTCAACAAGCAAAGTTGTATCATATGCATAACGCAGGTTGTTGATGGGTCTTCTTCCAATCCTGATGCTATATTCCTTCTCATAAACTCAGCCTCCCGAATAATCTGTTTTGCATACAGAGTGAAAAGGTATGGCGATAGGATACATACATACCCGATGCACATTTTTCCTGATATTGAACCATACAGTGTTTCCCTGCTCAGTTCTGACTGTGGCTTCCTGGTCTAAGTATAGGTTTAACATGTGTACAATTAAGCATTCTGGGATTCCCATTCTTCTCAAGAATTCCACAATTTTCTGTGATTCACACAGTCAAATGTCTTTGCATAGTCAGTGAAACACAGACATTCCTTCGGTATTCTTTATTTTCAGCTAAGATCCATGTAATGTTGGCTATGATGTCTCCAGTGTCCTGGCCTCTTCTAAACCCAGCTTGCACATCTGGCAGTTATCTGCTGATGCACTGTTCCAGTAATTTCTGGATAATCTTTTGTAGGGTTTTGCTTGTGTGTGATATAGTAATACAATTTGATAATTTCTACACTCTGTTGGGGCACCCTTTTTTGGGGGGCATGGGAATAAATACATATCTCTATGTCTTTGAGCTGTGGTGCTGGAAAAGAGTATTGACTATACCGTGGACTACTAGGAGAACAGGTTTGTCCTTTAGAGGGTGAGAACTGGCTGCTCCTTGGAGGCAAGGATTCTGAAGTCTGACATATTTTGGACATATTGCAAGGAAGGACCAGTCCTTGGAGAGGGACATCATACTTGGGAGGGTGGAGGGACAGTGCAAGATAGGAGGAACCTCAATGAGATGGATTGATTCATTGACTGGAGTAATGGGGGTAGGTGTGTTGGAGACAATGCGATTGGCACAGGATAGAGCAGAGTTTAGGGATGTTGTACATAGGGTCACTATGAGTTACAGGTGACTCAATGGTACATAACAGCAACAATAACTTCCAGTCAGTTGGCCAGGCCGTTGTCCCCCAGATTTCTTGGTGAAACCTGGTGAGCGTTTCCAGGGAAGTGTCTCTTTGCTGAAATATGTCAGTTGGTATTCCATCAATTCCTAGCACCTTGTTTTTTGCCAATTTCTTCAAAGGAGCTTGAACTTCCTCCTTCATTACCATTGCCTCTTGAATCATATATTTAATTAAATTCTTCTGTGTAAGCACATTGCATAATAGTTTTCTTCATCTTCTCGAGCTGCCCTTTGAAATATTTTGTTCAGCTCCTTAACGTCTTGATTTCTTCTGTTTGCTTTGGTTTCTTGGCATTGTGGTGCAATAGTGAGAGTCTCTTCTGACATCCATCTTGGCTTTTTTCTTTCTCCTTTTTTGTAAAGACTTTTTGTATTCTTCATGAACGATATTCCTGATGTCCTCCCAAAGCTCATCTGGTTTTCACTCATTAGTGCTCAAGGCTTCAAACCTGTTCCTGAGATGGCCTTTAAATTCTGGTGGGATAGACTCAAGATCAAACTTTGGTTCAAGTTGCATTAGTAGTACTCGTATGGAAGCACTGATGGCCTAGTGGCATAAAGCTACACTGCAAGCCCAGAGGTGTGTGGTTTGAATCCACCAGATGCTTTGCTGGAAAAGGAGGGACTATCTCCTCCTGTACCAGTCAGATCCAATTTGATGGTACACACACATACGTTCTCTAAGGAATATAGTTCCACATTTTATACAATGAAAAGGATGCCTAAGTACATAACATTTATTGAGTGAAGTTATTACTGTCTTACTTGATTTATGTGAAAACATCTCTTTTGAGAATCTCTTTTCTTTTTCACTCTAATTATTTTTATTTATTAGCTTGGTATCCTTTGGCTCTTGATTTTTTCCTCTTTAGTTATAAAGCTTGCTGAGATTCTTTTCTTTGTGGTGAAAGGGAAGAATATATGACCAACTAAGATTTCCAAGTAGTAAATAAGAATCACAAAATACTAGATCCTTTACTTCACGTATTTTTTAAATAGGAAGACGTATGAGAAAACGCAAATGAAAGACTACTGAACATTTTGGTTACATATGTTATTTCCAACCCTGAATTATAATTTAGAAAAAGATGCAAATATTTTCTTTCTTTAAACTTTCAGGTGTTTATTATTTTAAATCTAAGATTTCTTTTGTAATTTTAAATCAAAGATTTTTTCCCTCCTCTGCTGATGGATTTATCCTTCATACTAGTTAACTAACTTCTGTGCAGATGTTTCTATAAGTAACTTGTAGATTTGTGAAGAAATGTTTTTAAATACCATGTGGAAAAATATGTGTAAATATGTGCTTTAAGCTTCAGTGGTAAAGTACAGAAAGAGGCTTCTTTGACATTAGAGGATTATATAGCCAGGAAAAAAAAGAAAATAAAATATCCTCCAACTACAGAACACAGAAATACACAGATAGGCAAACTTTATAGTACTGACTTTGATATCTTATGTAGTTTTTGGTGAACAATTAACATTGAAGACAAGGTAATTTTTCTGCTGGTTATAATTTTAAAAAAGAGTAATTTTGCATTCTATGTATTTCTTTAGACTGTGTGAAGATTGCTGCTAATAAAAGTACCTATTTGAAAAACTTTCCCAAACTAAAGATAGAATGTAAATTATTTTAAATGAAAGATGCAAATGAGGAATATGTATATGAACTCTATGAAAGTTTAGCTTTTTAAAAAAAAAAAAACAACAATCAACCATACTGAGGCTGCTTTATAGTTTCAAAATGAAATAGTTTTTATTATTGATTTCTTTTATAGTTAGTATGCTAAAACAGAGTTAGATAATATATTGATAGAATTTAAAATGTAAATTTTGTTAATATTTTGGCAGAATGACAGCTGTCATTTTGAATTTGAGATTCTTCTTAAATCTGAGTGCAAAGAAACTTAGATTTTAACGGTTTCATTTTGTTTTGTTTTCCTAGGAATCAGAAAATAATAAATTATGCACCCTATATTCGTTCCGAAATACCTCTACCTCACCACATAAGCCTGACGAAGGGAGTCGGGACCGCGAGATAATGACCAGTGTTAATTTTGGAACCCCTGAACGCCGCAAAGGGAGCCTTGCCGATGTGGTGGACACACTGAAACAGAAGAAGCTTGAGGAAATGACTCGGACTGAACAAGAGGGTATGTGTGGACTTCACTATTGGGCTTTTTTTCTTCTAAAGATTCTAGGTCTTAAAAAAAAAAAAAAAGCAGTAGAATTTCAAGGACCTGAGAAGTGCATAATTGACACTAGGTAGGAAAAAGTTTTTCAGGGGTTACCATGGTGATGACAGATCATGAGCCATTGGAAGTGTTAAGCAGATAGCTCCGTTTTTCTAAAACTTGATACTTTTTATTCAGTTCTTATGATGACAAATGAAGGGTTTAAGTTAACTGTAAACTTCACTATGAAAAAAGGCATGAAGGGAATTTTTCCAACTACAATTTTATTTTTCATTTATTCAGCTTTGTTTCCTTTTGTGTGAATAGTATTTTCTTGACTTATTCCAAATGTTTTAAAAGTTAGCAAAACAAAAATACCCCAAATGATATACTTTCCTCACTTTTAGAAATATTATTTTATCTTCAAATGTTGCAGAATGGAAAGTCAAAGGTACCTAATGTTTTAATGTCAAATGTTCAAGGGGAGATTCTTTGACTCATGACTTCTGCTGCAGTGTTCCACATTCTCCTCCTCTGTAGTTCTTCACAGGGGTCCACTTAGGTATACCGAGGTACTAAAAGCACAGGAGAAGAAGAGTCATTAGTAATATTATTAAGCTAAATAAATAAAGTCTATTTTTCATTGTTTTATGTATTGATTTTAGACTGTGAAATGTAGGATGATCAATGATTTAGGATTTATTGCTAGCATGGTAAATTTAGACCTCTTTGACTCCAGGAGAATGGAGATTTGATACCGTGCATTCTATAATGTAATTGACTTTTATTCCTGCAAGTAGTCAATGTTCTAAAAGTTATTATTGTGTTTGTGTGTCTTTCTAAAATATTTTTGCTTACTTCTTTGTCTTGCTAATCTGACTAATATGGGACAAATGTAAACTTTTTTTAATCACTCAGGATCGTGATATGTAGGCTAAGAATGTTAATACCTCTACCAAATATATCTCCTTGGATAAGTTTCTTAACCTCTCTAAACCATGAAGTTTAAAGTCTGGTGTAACACTAATACTTAGCTTTGGAACTCAAATGTTTTGAGAATTAATTATAATAATGAATAGAAAAGTATCTTAAGATCCATTAAGTCATATAAATTTGAGGTGGTATGATAGTGTGAATGTCAAATATGGTTTTATCCTGCAGTTAAGGGTGTTCCCAAAAATCTTTGAGATGATTATGACCATTCAACTTTATGATCATTTTTGTGTAATTACTAAACTTTGATGTTCTTACATCTGAAATATATGTGTGTGTGTGTGTGTGTGTGTATAAATATATATACATGTATATGTTTATATGTACATATATATATACACACATGCCAGTCATAAATATTTTGCAACTATCTTTATATATTTTTTTGTGTGTATATGTGTTTTTTCTCCTAAAATGTCATGCTGTAGGTTGTTACTTCCTGCATTGTTAGGAATATTTTCTTTCTTTTTAAAAATTTTGTGTTGGTTTGTAATACGGGTCATATACATTTTGTTTCTCTCGCATATTCTGTGTTTCACATATTCTTTCATTTGTATCGTATTTCATACTATTATTCATATACATTGTGTTTTAGAAAATTATTCACCATTTATCTTTGCGTAATATTACCCCATCTTTTCAGTTTCCCATTGGATCCTTTCTAATTCTTTTACCACCATCCTCCACTCACCAAATTCTGTTATCCTAAGGATTTTCCTTTCTTTTTACCCTTTTGGACTTATATACTCATCTTATCCTTCTCTTTTTACAATAATGGTCTTATACAATATTTGTCCTTATGAAACTGAGTTAGTTCACTCAGCATAATGTTCTCTAGACTCTCCCATGTTATATAGCATTTTATGAAATCATTGCTCCTTAGTGCTGCATAGTATTCCATTATGTGTACATACCATAATTTCTCAATCCATTTGTTTGTTGATGAACACTAGGTGCTTTTTCCATTTTCTTGATATTGTGAACAATGCTTCTCTGAACAGAAGTATACAAATCTCCATTTATGTCTCAGTTCCATTTTCCTTGTGAAGTATTCCCAAGCTGTGTCATTTGAGATTTCTATGTTAGACATTTTGAGGAAACACCAAACTATCTTCCAGAATGGTTGTGTCATTGCCAATTGTTTGCTGTCCTGTTAAACCTGGCTACTGATACTAGCGTGAGATGGTATTCATGGTGGTTTTGATTTGTGTCTCTCTTATTGCCAGTGATTTTGAGCTTTTCTTCATATGCCTATTGGCCATCTGAATGTCTTTGTGAAAAGTCTAGGAATATTTTCTTATTTGTGATGTTCAAGAATACAGATTATTTAAATATATTTATTTATAGATTTAGAAATGTATATATCATTAAAAAATTAGGTGATATTCTGACTACATGTAACATATGAACAACTTTTCTGAGCAAGGTACTGAGAAATCCTCTAACAGGCAGCATACATAGTCTTTGTTCATAGACTTTGTGTTGATTTTTCTGGTTGCTCAGCTGTTTTGTCTTCCTGATTCTTGGCTGGATTCTAGAGTAATTGAGGCTGTCAGATCTCAGACTAACTGAGGTTACTAGATAATTTTTAATTGTGATTCACTTACTAAAAAATGAATTTAGAAATAATGTGGTTTCTGTAAGTATTTTAGAGGGCTATTTAATGTAAAAATGAAGTAATTTATGTGTGATGATTTTTTTTCCCCTCTGAAACTCTAGTAGATTAAGGGTTGGTTGCTAACCATTAAGGGTAGTAGTTAGAACCCACCAGCCTGTTTGAGACCCTGTTTTCAACAAGTGAAGCACTGCCTGGTCCTGCGTCATTCTCACAACCATTGTTATGATTGAACCCAGTGTTGTAGGCCCTGTGGCTGTCTTTGAAAACCTACTGGGACAATTGTACTCTGAGGATCTTTTTATTTTATACTGACATCTACTTTACCAAGTATGATGTCTTTCTTGGGAAACTGCTTGTACCTGATTACCTGTCTAATATATGAGAGACAATATCACCATCCTCACATTTAAGGAACACTCAGGATATACTCCTTCCAAGTCTCTGTGTTGTTTTCTAAAAATCCATTGTATATTCATTATTTTTTTATCAGCACCATAATTCAAAGGCATAAGTTCTTTTATGGTCTCCCTTATTTATATACATAGTTTGTGCTGCTGTTATGTGCCCTATGTACAACCCTATGTACAACAGCCCTAAACTCTGCCCTATCCTGTGCCAATCTCACTATCTCTAACACACCTACCCCCATTATCCCAGTCACTGAATCAATCCATCTCATTGAGGGTCTTCCTCTCCTGCTGTCCCTCCACTCTCCCAAGCATGATGCCCCTCTCCAAGGGCTAATCCCTCCTTGCAACACGTCCAAAGTTCAGACAAAGCTTCAAAATCCTTACCTCCAATGAGCAGCCCTGCTTCACCCTCTCCAGGACAAACCTGTTCATTTTCTTGGCAGTCTATGGTATATTCGATAGTCTTCTCCAACACCATAGCTTAAAGGCATCAATTCCCCTCTGTCATCCACAGCACATGATTACAAAGACCATGGCCTGCATCAGACACACCGTAGTCTCCAGACTGACATTGTTGCACCTCAGCACTTTAGAGAGGTCTCTAACCGCAGGCTTTCCCATCACAATATGTCTTTTAATTTCCTGGCTGTTGGTGCCAAGAGTGTTGACTGTGGAGGAAAGCAAACCAAAACAGAACACTCTCATTCTCTTCACTATCCATTATGATGCTGCCAATTGGCCCAGTGGTGAGAATCTTTGTTTTCTTGATATTGAGTCTCAATCCATTCCGAAGATTGCAGTCTTTGACCTTCGACAGAAAGTGCTTCAGGTCCTCCTCAGTTTCAGCAAGTAAGGTTGTGTCATAGGCATAACACATACTGTTGATAGATCTTCCTCCAATCCTGATGCCACATTTCTCCTCATAGAGCCCAGCCTCCCAGATAATCTGTTCTGCATAAAGATTGAAAAGGTATAGAGACAGGATATAGCCCTGATGTACACCTTTCCCAATTTTGAACCATGCAATGTTTCCCTGCTCTGTTCTGATGACTGCCTCCTGGTCCAAGTATAGGAGGCAATTAAAAATACAGTGACTTGAGTCAGGTACACATTTGTCCTCAAAGTGACATTTTTTCTTTTTAACACTTTAAAGAAACCTATAGCAACAGATTTTCCAATGCAATACATTATTTGATTTTATGTCTGCTTGCTGTTATGGGTATTTATTATGAATAAAAATAAAAGGAAATCTGTGACAACTGCATTTTCCCCTGTGTTGCCATGATACTGTTTACTGGACTGGCTGTAGAGATTTCTATTGTTTGGTATTTCAGTTTTGGTGTTTTTTTTTCTGTTGTTGTTCATGTTGTTGTTTAATCCATACTAAAGACTATAATCTTTTATCTCCTTTAACAAGTACTTCTGTTCCTCTTTGCCATCTTTATATCACAGATTGTTAGTCTTCCACCAATCCTGATGCAATATTTTTCTATATATGAATATTGCTCCTTCAAACTTCCTTCTTAAAGAATTTTATTATTCTCCCATGAATATATTATTCTCTTCTGAACATATTCCATTTAATTTAGATTTGTTGCAAGTGAACACAACATTTAAATACATCCTGTTGAGCAGAGTTCAATAAGGCTGCCACCTGTTGAGTACTAAATACTATTCACTAATCCTGTGATAGCCTTGGCAATGCAGGGACAATATTATTTATCAAGAGGAAAGATTGAAGGAATTAATAATAGTAACCTAGAGAAGAGAACATCAAAGATGGCATGATGTTTGTCTTTAAAGTCACAGAGGATGAACTGGGCTTATTCTCTACAATTTCCTAGGGTATAATGAAGATAACTAAGTAGTTAAGAATTTCTGTTTATGGTTTATATCAAGACCAACAAACAGCCATAGCTTTCCATGTATAGAATAAGCTTCTTTGAAGATAAGAAATC